AATGAAAAGGAAATGATCTGCAAATCATATGAAAGAAAATTTGTTTCTGCAATTTCCTTCTTTTAAAAAAAATATTCCAATTCTTCATGACGATTTGTTATAGAAATTAAATTCGAGAATACATAAGTAGTACAATCTTTTGTAAATCGTTCTGACTTATATCGGTAATTAGGATTATTCTAAATTATAACGATAATAATGAGTAAACTTTTTAGTATAAAATTTATTAAAAAGAAAATTTTACCTTGCAAGATTGCTTTAGATTTTTCCACTTAATCTCACACTGTTCAGGAAGATATCGATTTTCATCATCTGATACAATAATCGAGGCATTATCCCAAAGCTTTTTTTTAATATTACCACTACCGCCACGCTTTTCTCCTAGTTCTTTTAAAACTTGTTTGTGTTTATTTAAATAAGCAAATAATGATTTAACTCCTTTTTCAGTCCACTTAATTCGAGATTTTGGTTCATTAGAGGGTTCCGTAATGGTATATGATTCTTTCATAATGAAAGTGACGTATAAAAATCAAGTCAATTCAAAAGAATTTATGAAGTTTAAATATGATCATTTACCTTGAACTAAATCCACAACACGAGGAAAACTACTTGAATTATTTTGTTGAGTAAAAGTAAACGTATTTGCGTAAGGGCTTATCATATTTTCGCGAGCTTGATGATCGTTATATGAAGAAGCGAGAAGTCGTAAAGAATAAAGTGGAACTATGGTTTGATTGTTAATGTTAATGCCATCTTGTTGATACAATAATTGAGTTTCATAAGACAAAACTCCATCATCGATTTGCGCATTATTATCAAAGGATAAAATATCAAGCGTACTTTGAACATCGTTTGCGTATCGTGGTGGCTGAATTGGGTTCATATTGTGAATGCCTTTTAATTTTTATAAAAGAGAGTCTTTAGTGTACTTATTATCTATTTATTTTTCTTGATATTGAAGAAATGTAATAATTCTCTAAAAAGTGATTGATATATTTCTAAAATGACCTAGTAAATTTTATGTATGTTTCGTTTGTAGGTTTACGAAAAGAACGCAGACTTATTTATAAGATATTTAACGACTTCTTTTGTGTGACTTGCGATATGAGCCTCTATCATGTGTGATTGAACTGAAAAAAATAATTCATTTTGTATGCAAATTTCGCGTTTAATGACTAATTCTTTTCTCAGGAAAAAAAAAAAGTTTTATTTATAGTGTAAAAACTCAATTAGAAAGGATCATATTTTTATTTGTATGACATTTGATTTATTTAACTGATAACAATTTTACTGGATAGAAAATTGGCTAATTCATTGATTTACTTATCGTTATAAAAAAAAAATTGTTTAGAGACATTATGCGAGGGTTATCGTTTTGTGAATCTTTTGTGTTAATCGCGTGACCATCGCGCATAATATATGTAAGCTTTTTTTTTAAAAATATATAGTTTATAATTTAATGATAAAAACGTATAACCCAAGTTTTTAAATTTAGTAAACCGATAGAGTTATGTCTCTTGATTTCGCGTATAACCATAAAGAAACTGAAATGTGTGCGCCAACGACGAGATTCATCCATAAAGCCGGAAAATGCTGATTAGTATTGTAATGTCATTCTCTTAGAATCTAGCCGAGTAATATCTACAAATCTTATTATTAATTTGTAATATTGGAAAATTTTAATCAAGCCACCGATGCGCGATTGTTTCCGATACAAAGAAATGCAATAAATAAATAAAGAATCTTATTAGTTAGTTGTTAGCTTCATATTTGCCTAATAATTTGAGCACCGCATTAAATTATTCTTCAAGAATCCATTCTTTTTTCTTTTTATAATATTTTTTAAATCGATTGTTAGGCTTTTCTTGCTTTGATATATGAAAACTTTATGTTGTGTATACGCTACACCACAACGGATGAAAGCAATCGTCTGCTTTAAATCTTAAACCCCAAATGCTCGATCAAAAAAGAAAAAAATTGTGAAGATCTGTATATAGGTATATTGATACGATAAAAAAATAAATAATACTCACCCTTACATCCACAAATCAAATTTGCGCCGAAATATGTTGGACTCATTTTTATTTGCTGCAGGTCCTTTATGATGAAAGTAATGAAGATTTTATCAAATAAAGGAATATATTCATCGGAAAGTTATATACATTGCAGATTTATTAGGTAAAAAAAGAGTTACAATGTTCATGCTAGAAAAATCCGATTTTCATGTTTATTGTGAAATTACATAAGGTAAGGCTTTTGAAAAAATATATATATATATATATATATAATTCTTTTAAGGCAAAAGATCAGATCCAAAGTTCGGCCGGTATTTTTAATGTCAATCTTCCACATCAACAACTTCCCGACAAGCGATAAAAGTGAAAAAAAGTGATATCAGCGTGTTAATTTATTTTGAAACTAGGGCGTAACTCAACGATCCATATATGACATTTAATTACCATCTACACACTATAAATATAGGAAGATATCAATATGTGTCGATGGAGTTCATGATAGATAAAAAAAAAAAAAAAAAAATAGCGGATCTTAAATTTAGATTAATTTGTCACTAAATATACAGAAATACTTAAATGTATATTAAGCAAAATTTACCAGAGTCGAACGTAACAGCGAATTTCCCATCTCGACTAATCGCGATTTGGTGTTGATTTTTAGAAACTGATGTGTCATTATATTTTGTATTTTAATATTAAGTGATATATATCACATTTTTGAGTAAATTTATTTTATTTTTGTAGTATTTCGCTTTTCTTTTGATGAAATTTTTTTTTTTTTTTTGTTTGAAATGCATTTTAAATAGGTAACAAGAAACTAAATAAAAAAATAATGTAAAAAAGGAAAGATAAAAAAAAACCAAAGGCGAAAAAACCTCTTCCATCATTGTGATACAAAATAACCAAACCTGAAACTAAAAAACAATTCAATATGAAGAAAAAAACAAATGGAGAAATGGCGCAATATTTTTGGAAAAACTTTTCTAAACTAAAAGTAATAAGAAAAAAAGAACAATTTATTATTTTAACATAAAATAAATTAAATTTCATTCGTGTAAAGCATATGCATATGTCGGAAATGTCTAAAACTTATTTAGCAACTAAACAAACCAAAAATTGAAATTGAAAATTTATTTTTAAGTCATTTAACAAAAAATTAATCATAGGAACCCTAGGCGCTGAAGAGATGTTTGGAATAAAAGTTAATCCCAGAATATTGTCTTCTTTCCTTACTATTGCAATGGCTTCTCTTATTATATGATTCATTGGGACGCGTTGTTTTCGGCGTTAGGGCGCGCTTCGAATTAGGGGATGCAGCGTATGTATTTGATATTGTCCATTAAGCATAAAGCATAAAGCATAAATTTTTTGTTAGTTGATTTCCAAATAAAGTTAAGCAACGTGCTAATTATCAATTTTATCATATTTTATTTTTGTATTATTTTTATTAATTAAAATTCTTATTATATAATAATTTTTTATAAAAATCATATATTTTTTGAATAATATCTTAAGTATAAAATATAATCTATAGAGTTATAAACATTTTTCACATTAAAATAGATACATTTTTATTATTGTCCGAAGCATAGTCTACTTCTAGCAATGTCGTTCTGTGGATTACCAATGTTGTGTTACGTAAATATTGTTATCGAAATTAACCCATATTATCGGAAATTATTCTCCGGACTAGGACGGTTTCCGTTCCCTAGGATAAAGAATTTTAGTTTTTATCAAATATGCAAAATTTATTCAGCTAATTTTTATTAAAATTAATTTAAATATTCATAAATATATAAATAACATTGAAAAGATTTTTATGTTTTTAATTTTATAATATGATTTTAGTACTTTGGTTAAATAAAATAGGATAAGTGAAGGTATTCACTAAATATCATGCTATTTAAATATCAATTTTATTAAGTTGTTATTGTATAGTACATATATTTATAAATTTAGCATTTGGATAAATGAAGCAGGTCTTGAACAACAAAATATTTGTTTCTAAATGGAAAAAAAAATTTACATCCAATCAAATTAATTGAATTATGTCACATTTATTTTATTGGTAATGCATAATGATGCAGTGGCAAAGTAAAAATGGTTGAACGAGCATAAATCAATAGAACATGTGATCATTTGAAATTGTATTATTTCAACAAAAAATAAATAAATAAATAAATAAAAAATAGAGTTTAGATCCGGATTATCCATTGACATCCATTGAATGCATCCGTATCCGTTCAAATAATGAGAATTATCCGGATATAATTCCTTTAACTCAATCCGGATAACAATTTTGGATATTCATTGGATATTCACGGGATCAGTTTACGCCTTTACGGTAATTTATTAAAGCTATCGGCTATTGGCTGTTCTAAATGTAACCAATTATCTATTACTTAATGAAACGTTCTACCTACAATCGGCCCTTTTCTCTTTAGATAAATTAGAGACCCAAATAAATTATGTTTTATAGAGGTGCGTTTGGCAGTCATAATATTTCCCGCATCACTAAATAACCTTTCACTTGTAGCTGATGTGGCCTGTACTGTCAAATATTTTCGTGCTAAATCAGATAAAATTGGAAATTCTTTTTTTATGTATATCCACCACTTTAAAGCATTGATACTTTTTGGTTGCTGAGCAATTGCTAAATATCGGTCAATCTCATCATTTTGATTCAAAAATACTTCTTTGATAAAGGCGATTTTTCTTTTTATTTGCTCCTAATAAACTATTATCAGAATTTTCATTCACTCTTATAAAACTTGAAGATTTTGCATTTTCATATGCATCCTTATTTGTAGTAAATGCCAAATTTTCCATCTTGGATCTAGTATTGCTGCCAAAAGTCCTTCTTTTTCAATAGCAGGAATATTTACAGGATTATTGATTTTAATCTTTCTTGTAGCTCCATGTTCATTTTCTTCCACTGCGTCTTCAAAATTATGTTCATCAAATGCATCATCTGGTGATTCTAGATCAATATTAGCTTGCATATTGTTTGAAACTAATGCGCAAATTCTTTTAAAAGTTTTTCAATAGCTGGATATATAAAACCCACAATCATTCACGAGATCTAAGCTCTAATAAAAAGAGTATCGAATAAAATGTAATATTCATAATCTATCGACTAAATTTCTTTTTTAAATATAACAATAACATTTCCAATTTCTATAGAAGACCTCATTTCATATTTTAAAAAAATAATATGACTAGTCTTCTTCGAGGACCCAACCGTTCATTATATAAAGAATTTACCCCATTTGCATATTTCTCTTATCAATTAGGACGAGAAACTTTTCAACAAAGTTACCTTGGTATTTCAAACAAGGTATCAATCGCTGGTTTGTTAAACCTTAGATTTCTTGCACAACAACCTTTATATGCAAATCAAATACAAATTCACATTTTAGGAACTGAAAGTGTTTTAAATACAAGGAATAGGACCAAAGTTTAGATTATGATACAAATCCAATCTGTATGAATTATGGAAACGTTCGGATGATAAATATCGTCAAATCTATGCTTTCAGTTCTTTTCGTTTATATTTATAAACAAATTTTTATGTAAGCAGAAGGATTTATTAAGTAATTATTATATAATCATTATGCAAAAATGTTTCAATAAAGAAAATTTTTAGATTCTCGTGACATAAAATTTTAAAATTGATACGGTCACCCGGTTTTTTTTTTTCATATGTAAATTTTTTTATATGTATTATATGATATATGTGGTGATTCTTTTGAAGCTTTAGCAAATTCAAGCACAGAAATGAAAGATATTAATGATGATGTAGGGAGAATTTTTGAAAATGTACAGACCCCCGCCAAAAGTCTCCGAACGTCATCTTTCGGCTATTTCATACCGAATACATCATAGGACTGTATAATA